GTGTTATTCTGCTTCTGAACTTTTCTTTGCTTTATTACCTAGATAATCTGTATGTTTCTTTGGGTAAATGAGCTTTTCAAGAAGTGAGATGTTCAAAATGTTGCCTGAGGAGCACTGAAGAGCTCTGGTTTATTTGTTTTTAAAGCAAAGCAACAGGAAATTTTATTTTTAGTGTAAAATATCATGTAAGGTGTTTTTTTAATAAAATAAAAAAAACCAAACCTGTGTTGTTCTGCGTTAACCCCCAGTGCTCTTCAAAACTCTGCAGGCAGTGTTCTAGACAGCCTCATGTTGTATGGCCTCATGAACTCATAAAGGTATTTTGGAAGGCTTGTGAAGCCTATCAGAGGACTCACATAACCACCAGAAGGAAAAGCCACTGTGAAGCTGCAAAGCTTTTTAAAATAAAAAAGGCAGAATAAGAACCACCCAGCCATCTGTTAGTTATTTTAAGCGAGAAAGACACAAACCCCTGCTCTTCCCCACTCACAAGGGATAAAAGAGAAATGTGAATCTTTTATTTCCACCACAAAAAGCTTCTAGAGACCTATTTGACTGCAATTTGGTAGACTTTGAGCACTCTTTGAAGGGTTTATGTGCCTGTAAATTCCATCCACTTTGGCCAAAAGGGGAAAAGTTAAAGCAATTTTACATTCCATTATGGCAAGCGGTGAACACAGAGCTTCATTTTATAGTGTTACTCAGAACCTGAAACACAGATTAAAGTGGTGAGAGCACAGAGGAACTTGGAAAATGACTGGAATTTTAAACTAGGCAGAGAAATAGATACAAGGCAAATCTTGGGGCGCCCCCCCCTACTGAACGCACCCCTCAGCACTGTGACGGGGGGCAAGTAGGTGCTCGCTCCAGACTAAAGCTGGCTGTCACACATTCTTTTTTTTAAAAAAAATAATTTTTATTAACTGGCCAATCAAATCAAATTAAATCACATCACATAAATTACAAATTACAAAGCCGAATTTTAAAATTTGTTGTTGAGGGGACCCATATTTCAAGATCCGAAGGGGGATTCTGATCATCTTCTTGCTACTGCTTTAATGTCCAAATCAGTCCAAACAGAGTTCATAATTCTATCCAGTCTTATCTTGCTGTTTCCACATCACATCTTGTTCATATATTTTCTCTTTTTTCTTTATGATCTCTTCTGATAGTCTCCTTAAGCTGATAAACACCAATAATAATCCTGTGTGAATTTTTCCGTTCTTCCAATCCTCAAATCGAGATGGTTTCCATATATCATCGCCTTCATAGATAACATCGCTCTTTCCATCATTAATTACAGAACTGTCATTCTTAAGTCCCTCTGAGGAGTTTCACCCACAATATAAAAACAGCTCTATTTCTCTATTTCTCCTCCCAGACTTAAGTCCTCCGACAGAACTTCCCAATATGGCAACGGCATTTTTAACTGCATCATTCCAAAGCCCTTATACATTCCACGCTCTTCTTAAAACATGCTTTGGTTCGAAAGTTTATCTCCACACAGCCTTAAATCCATAGCTTAAGTCCTTAAAACGACATTTCTGACTTGTGAGGGGAGGGGATTCTTATTTAATCACATAAGGAAAGAAAGGAAAGGTTTTTTTCCCCCTCCCCCATCAGTCATCAGTCCCTTTACCATACCGAGTCTTGGCGTATCTTTTCATAATCTATACTTGTTCCTCCGACTCATCTTGTTTTATCAGAGATCTCTTCTGTTAGCGGTCTTTACTCCCCTTCCTTCCTTCCTTGAAATATGTGCATTCGCTTCATCCAAATTGTTTCTTTTGTTTTGTTTTTTTAATATAATATTTATTGGTTTTACAAAAAAAAAAAAAAAAAATACAAAAATTCCACAGACAAAAAACAACAATAACAATGACAAAAAGAAAACAAAAGATAACAATAACCATAAGAAAGAAAAAACAGAAAAATTTAAAAATTTATACTTTCATTTAACCTTCTTATCTTTCCTTAGTTCTTTGACTTCCCCGCACCTCCCCACTTGTATTTCCATTTAAAAACTCCTTTCAGCAAATCCTTACCCTCCTTCCTTTATCTTAAATCAAAAACTTAATCTATTTATAAATAGATATTTTTACAACCTTATCAATCAAATATTCCATGCTCTTAAACGCAAGGCTTTTGCCAATACCAGTTATTTTCAATCAGACCTCAATTTAACATTCATTAATTTTATAGTATTTCTGTAAATAGTCTTTAAATTTCTTCCAATCTTCTTCCACCGACTCTTCTCCCTGGTCACGGATTCTGCCAGTCATTTCCGCCAATTCCATATAATCGATTACCTTCATCTGCCATTCTTCCAGAGTGGGTAAGTCTTGTGTCTTCCAATACTTTGCGATAAGTATCCTTGCTGCTGCTGTTGCATACATAAAGAAAGTTCTATCTTTCTTTGGCACCAATTGGCCAACAATGCCCAGGAGGAAGGCCTCTGGTTTCTTTAAGAAGGTATACTTAAATACCTTTTTCAACTCATTATATATCATTTCCCAGAAGGCCTTAATCTTTGGGCACGTCCACCAAAGGTGAAAGAATGTACCTTCAGTTTCATTACATTTCCAACATTTATTATCGGGCAAATGGTAGATTTTTGCAAGCTTGACTGGGGTCATGTACCACCTGTACACCATTTTCATTATATTCTCTTTTAAAGCATTACATGCTGTAAACTTCGTACCTGTGGTCCATAACCGTTCCCAGTCAGCAAACATGATGTTATGTCCAACATCCTGTGCCCATTTAATCATAGCAGATTTTACCGTTTCATCCTGAGTATTCCATTTTAGCAGCAAGTTATACATTCTTGAAAGTGTTTTAGTTTTGGGATCTAGCAGTTCTATTTCCAACTTTGATTTTTCCACCTGGAAGCCAATTTTTCTATCCAAATTATAGACCTCTCTTATTTGGTAATAATGCAACCAGTCTCGCACTCTATCTTTTAGTTTCTCAAAACTCTGCAATTTGAATTTATCTCCTTCTTGTTCCAAGATCTCCCAATATTTTGGCCACTTGGCCTCCATATTGGGCTTTTTCAGAGCCTTTGCCTCCATTGGTGATAGCCACCTTGGGGTTTTATTCTCCAATAAGTCTTTATATCTTATCCAGACATTGAACAATGCTTTCCTGACAATATGGTTTTTAAATACTTTGTGAGCTTTAACCTTGTCATACCACAAATATGCATGCCACCCAAACACATTATTGAAACTTTCTAAGTCCAAAACATCAGTATTTTCCAGAAGTAACCAATCCTTCAACCAGCAGAAAGCTGCTGATTCATAATAAAGTTTAAAGTCTGGCAGGGCAAATCCCCCTCTTTCTTTAGCATCAGTCAATATTTTAAATTTTATCCTGGGCCTCTTGCCCTGCCAGACAAACTTAGAGATATCTCTCTGCCACTTCTTAAAACAATCCATTTTGTCTATTATTTGTATCGATTGAAACAAAAACAGCATTCTTGGCAATACATTCATCTTGATGACAGCAATTCGACCTAACAAGGAAAGCTTCAAATTTGTCCATATTTCTAAATCCTTTTAATGTCCGACCAACACTTTTCATAATTGTCTTTAAATAAATTCCCATTTTTAGCTGTCATATGAATCCCCAAGTATTTCACTTTTTTTACCACTGTTAAACCTGTCTCATTCTGAAACCTCTCTTTTTCAATCGGTGTTAAATTCTTCTCAAGTACTTTAGTTTTAAACTTATTCAGCTTAAAACCTGCCACCTGACCAAACTCTTGAATCAGTTCTAATGCTCTTTTCGTACTAGATTCTGGCTCCTGTAATGTCAATACAAGGTCATCCGCAAATGCTTTCAGTTTATATTGTTTCGCTCCGACCGTTATACCCTTAATCAAATGGTCCCTTCTTATCATATTTAACAGAACCTCCAGAACAGAAATAAAAAGTAATGGGGAAATTGGGCAGCCTTGTCGTGTCCCTTTCTCTATCTTAATTTCCTCTGTTATCACATTATTAACTATTAATTTAGCTTTTTGTTCTGAATAAATTGCATTTATACCATTTTCAAACTCTTGGCCTACCCCCATCCCCTGGAGATTTTTCTTCATAAAACTCCAGGAAATGTTATCAAAGGCTTTCTCTGCATCCACAAAAATCAGAACTGCTTTAGTGTTAATCTCCTCTTGCAGCTTCTCCAGAATATCAATTATATTCCTTGTGTTATCCGAAAGATGTCTATCTGGAAGAAAGCCAGCTTGGTCCTTGTGAATCACTTCTTTTAGCACTTTTTTTAAGCCTTTTTGCTAAAATGTCAGCAAAAATTTTGTAATCCACATTTAACAGGGATATGGGCCGATAGTTCTTAAGCTGTGTCTTTTCAGTCTCAGACTTTGGTATAAGTGTAATAAATGCGTCCTTCCACGACTCTGGCGCTCTTTTCCCCTCTAAAATTTCATTGCAAACCTCAGTTAATGGTCGAATTAACCAGTCTTTCAGGGTTCTGTAATATTTTGAGGTTAAACCGTCCGGTCCTGGAGATTTTCCCAGCTGCATATTCTGAATGGCACCTTCAACCTCCTGTTCTGTAATTTTATAATTCAGCAATATCTTGTTATCCTGAGAAATTTTTGTAATCCATTGGTTTTCAGAAATTGCTCTATTTCAAATTCTTTCTGAGGCCCTTGTGTATATAATTGTTTAAAATATCTCTGGAAGCATTTCCTAATTTCTTCTGGATTCTGGATATTTTTCCCTTCCACTTCCAAATTAGTAATAGTATTGAGTTTTTGTCGTTTCTTCAACTGCCAAGCCAGCAGTTTCCCACATTTATTTGCCGATTCAAAAGTCTTTTGTCTCATTTGTTTAATTTTCCATTCCACTTCTTGATTTATCAATTTCATATACTGCACTTGGTGCAATTTTATTTCCCTCAGAATCTCTTGTGAGTTGGGCTTCACTCTCAGTTTCTTCTCGCCCTCCTTTATTTTTTCCAAAAAATTTTCTTTCTTTACATTTTGGGCCCTCTTCTTAACTGAATTCTGTTGAATCAGGAAGCCCCTCATAACTGCTTTACTTGCGTCCCAGATTATTCTTTTTCTACAGCTGTATTCAAATTTATCTCAAAGTAGTCTCTCAAAGTCTTTTGGGCCTTCTTAATCACCTCTTGATCTCTAAACAAGGTGTCATTCATCCTCCATCGGAAGGAACCAGTAGATGTTAACTTCATCTCCATTCTCACGGCGTTATGGTCGGAGCATGTTTTTGGGCAGATCTCTACCTTCCTAACCTTAGGTGCCAGTCCTCTAGTAGTCCAGATTTGGTCAATTCTTGTCCATGTCTTTTGGGCTTCAGAAAAAAAGGTTCCTTCTCTACCAAGGGGATTCCTAGTTCTCCAAATGTCAATCAGATCCATATTGTCAGTTAATTCAAAGAATGTTTTCGGTAGTCTGCCATCTTTAGTGACTACCTCTCTTTGTGACTTGTCCATATTTGTGGAAACCACCCCATTCATATCTCCCATAAAAACAGTGTTATAGTCCATATAGTCCATCAAGATCTCATGCAACTTTTTGTAAAATATAGATGTCGCGTCATTTGGTGCATATAAGCCTACTATCAAAAATTTTTCTCCTTGTACTTGAATTTCAATTGCTATGAGTCTTCCTTGTTCATCCTTAAAGACGAATTTTGGTGAGAGGCTCTCCTTTGCGTAAATGACCACTCCTCGTTTTTTAACTTTATCTGATGAAATAAATTCTTGGCCCAATCTCTTATTAATCAATATTTTCCTGTGGAGCCTCATCACATGAGTTTCCTGTAAGCAAATTAAATCCAATTGTTCTTTTTTAAGTATATGAAATACTTTCCTCCTTTTTTCCGGAGAATTTAGGCCACAAACATTCCAAGTTAAAAGTTGCAGAGCCATGATGGTTTCTTTATTTTCCTCCAACTGCTCCCAATAACTCTTCTTCCTCTGTTGGTGGTTTCACCTTCTCTGTCTTGTCCTCTCCCGAAGGTGGTGATGTAGGATCCAATCCTGGTAAAGAGGCTTCTGGCTCCTCCCCCAATCCTTTTTGTAGGTCCTCTTGATGGTCTCTCAAAAGTTCTGTTTCTCCTCCACAGATTTTATTTTAATTTTCTTGCCTTTAAAACTGAAAGATAGGCCTTGAGGAAATTCCCACCTGAAAAAAATTCTGTTTCCTCTCAGCAGCGTCACCAGGTCCCGGTAGTTGGACCTAAGCTCCAAAAGGAACTTTGGAATGTCTTTAAATATTTCTATCCTTGAGTCTTGTATTATCAATGTATTTCGGTAGTGTGAGCTCAAAATTTTATCTCGTTCCTCCTTAGATCGCAAGGTAATCAGGCAGTCTCTCACTCTGTTCTTTCTTGCTCCTCTTCCAAGCCTGAAAGCAGACGTTATCTTGAAATCTTCCTTATCATTCAATTGCCAAAATTGGCAAATTCTTGTGTCAAAAAGTCTACCAGGCTCTCTTTCTCAAGCTCAGGTACTGCTCTGATCCTTAAGTTGGTCTGTTTCGCCTTTAGCTCAATCACAGATAACAATTCCTGGTGCGTTCCCAATCTTATGTGATGCTCTTCAACTTGTTTAATTAAAGGTGGTAATTTTTCTTCAGCAGCTACCGCCTTTTCTCTAGCTTCCAAAGCTATTTTTTGGGTTTCAGCAGATTGTTCCAGTAATTTTTTGATCGCATCTGTATTTTCATTAGTCTGTCGAGTCAGCTTATCAATACTTGCAGAGTTTTGTCTAATAGCTTCTAGTGCCTCGGCATTCTGTTGACCCAATTTTTCAAAACCTTCATTAACAATTTTAAATAAACTGGCAAGTCCTTCTTCCCCTTTTGTTTGCATTGGATCATCTCCTTGTGGCCCAGCGATGGATGGCCTGCGCTGTTGCTGTTGAGCAATGTTGCTCTGTTGCCTGCCTTTCCCGGACCTCAAGGTTCTTTCATCCATGGCACTTTATCTAGAAATCAAGGTCACTCTCACAGTTGGAGTTGTTTTGCTGTTAAGCTTTCCCAGGCTGCTGTTGAGTGGAAAATTCCTCAGTCAGTTAGAAACTTTTTCCCCTTTGGCCTCCAGGGGGACACAAGTAATAAAGTATCAAGAATAAAAACTCTTAAAAACTTTTTAAGAACCCCTTCAGCCAAAGAGGCAACTTTTTTCCCCCAAAGTTTCAATTTTGTGAAGTTAATAGGCAAGAAGATACATTGTCCATTTAGAGTGCTAACAAAATATCCAATCTTTCCAAACCTGGCAGTCTGTCCCCAGGGATTGAGAGGTGGTCTTCGTTTCCTTATCACTCTTTATTTTACACAAAAATAACAAGAAATACTGTCCCTTCTTCCCCCCCTTCTCCAATTATGGGAGGGAAAATTTTTAAATTTGACGTCTGTGTTTCAGTCTCTTTTGACAGTCTTTGGTATCGAACTCACACAGTCTTTGCTTTAATCCTTTATACAAACCGGGAGGTGGACTTCCTTTTTACACCTTCCCGCTTCAGCCAAATTTATTCAAAAATTTTAGTTGGTCCTTCTATAACGTCAAACCTACTCACGGGTTGTAGTTTTGACAGCCAAATTGTCAAGGAAGAAAGGTCAGCGCTCTCCAGCAACAGCCGCACGGCTTCACTCCGCGAAAGTAGCAGAAGACTCACAGTGCCGCGCCACCCCGTCCTGCTTCGGAGCCCCTCGCGGGGTTCCTTTGCCGTTTAGGGGCGCGCTCCAGGCACCCGCCGAGTCCCACGACCGCAGGCTTCCTCCGCCTGCGGGTTTCGAAAGGGTCTCCGCTGCGCCGTAGCGGATCGACCCGATTTTCGCGGAGCCTCTCCTCCGGGATTAGGAGAAGATCGCCATTGCTTGTTGGCGCCGCCTCCGGAAGTCCCAAATTGTTTCTTTTGAAGTTCTTGCAGCTAGTGGCGCGGATCAGAGATGGCGTCCAGGAGCGCCGAAATCCCACAGGAGGGCTTTGTGCCTAGTGCCCCTATCCCCACAAATTCGGGGGTGGTATAGGGCACAGGAGGCAAGGGCAGTCCCCCCCACCATCCTGGGGGGGGGGTAGGGAGGCTAATTACTCCCATCATAGCCTCCAAATTACCTCGTGTGGGTCAGAGAGATGTTTTTGTCAGCCATCTTCTGATGCACCCCCTAGTGGCCCCCTCGGCTGTCACACATTCTTGTTCTCAGTTATAGTAGCTTTGTATAAGTGCCAAGTTTGCCACCGAAGGAGATGAGGAGAAGCTAGTAAAGAGGCCTGGATCACTTGTGCTCTATCGCCTCTACAACAAGGGCAGTTCTGCCTGTGGATGACACCATTACTTGGGGATGGAGGAGGTAGTTTGCACCACGTGATTCACTACTCTTCCATCAGCATGAGGAACACAATGTGAAAAGCGTAGCTGCTAATGTGGGAATGGGGAAGCTGTTGCCCTTTAGATTTGGTGGACTAAAGCTTCCATTAGCCCCTGACAATTGACCACGTTGACTAGGGCTGTTTGGAATTGGAGGCAAAGAACATCCAAACCACCACAGGTTCCCCATTCCTGTGCTATGGAAGGGGTCTTGAGTGCCATCCAAAGCCACTCCATATTTATTGCAACAGAGGCAGTGCCATACAGAGAGCAAAGGGGTAAATGCCATCCCCCCAGTTTTGATGGCAGCCAACTGACAACCCTGGTCGGGAGAGGGACATCAGGCCTAGTGTCAGTGGTCAGCCAGGTTGGACACTGGCCAAAGATCCCAGGTGACCAGCAACCCAACCTGGCTTTGCCACAACTCACTGCTCTCCCTGCTGGGCCACAGGAGCATTGGGTTTGTGGGAAATTAAGATGGTGGGCAGTTCTGTGAATGGTGACTGAACATAGTTCCCATTCAAAAGTAGGACCACCACTCACCCACCGCTAACATGCTGTTCTGGGATTTCACTCATGTGTGTGTACTGGGAAAGCTATCAGTGGTGCTATGCCATGAGCCTCCTGAAATCTGGTGCTGGCCCTGAAAGGGATCCTAATTCTGTGGCAGAGTGTCCATCATTGTCCTACAAATAGATGAGCAGAGAGTCCTATCTCTGTGAAACTTCTAAAGGTTCTTCATAATGTAACCTGAAGGATTAATTATTTGGGGTGGGAACTTTTCCATAAAGCTAGCAATTATGCCAAACCAGAAAGTCTCAAGAGAAACAAAATGTGGCAATAAATCTTTTCCATTTCTATAATTAAGTGTCACAATTCTTCTTGGAATCCATTTCTAGCAGATGGGTGCAGAATAAAAATGTAATGTGGATGTTGATCTCATCGGGGCAAATATGATTGAAATTCATGACCATTTTCTGGTTGGATGTGCAGAACGGAGAACAATTGCCTGTATTAAAAGGCATTTTTAAAAGGTTCACTAAGGGACAGCACTTAAAATAATGAGCAAGTAAAGAAGCATGGGATTGATGCTACACCTCATGTCATATCACAAAAGTGACCATGGGGAAGAAATATGGAAATAAGGCCCAGTTCACTCAGTCTTTGTGTCTTGTCTCTCTTTAGTTCCATGCATGGTCTCAAAACCATCTTTTAAGATTAAAACAGAAAATACTGAAGTTTTAACAAAACATGTAGTGTTTGGAAGCCAACCAAATCATCCCTAGAAATACTGTAGGAACTGGAACTGAAAAATAACCTCCCCCATCTATGGTTTCCATAATCCCCAGTTGGCAGCTGTAGCACTGAAGGAACTGAGATGACATTTGCTGCTCCTATCACATTTTGCAGCACCCCTTACCTGAAGGATGGATTTTGGCCTCTGTTCTAAATTGTTTAGAAATTATTGACTTAACATTCACCTTAAACCGCAGTTCATTTACACTAGAGTTAATAGTTGGCTCCTATGGTGTCAGTGCCTTTAAATCAAAAACCTGGGTTTGTGTGTGCTGTGAATTGGGCTGTAAATGATCTCAAATGAGATGAAGTCAAGACATAATACAGTACATTGGCACACCTTTGAATGATCCACAGTCACAGACATTAATCAAAATGTGTGTAGACTGTTCAGTCTCCCTGAATCATAGAATCATAGAGTTGGAAGAGACCACAAGGGCCATCGAGTCCAACCCCCTGCCAAGCAGGAAACACCATCAGAGCACTCCTGACATATGGTTGTCAAGCCTCTGCTTAAAGACCTCCAAAGAAGGAGACTCCACCACACTCCTTGGCAGCAAATTCCACTGTCGAACAGCTCTTACTGTCAGGAAGTTCTTCCTAATGTTTAGGTGGAATCTTCTTTCTTGTAGTTTGGATCCATTGCTCCGTGTCCGCTTCTCTGGAGCAGCAGAAAACAACCTTTCTCCCTCCTCTATGTGACATCCTTTTATATATTTGAACATGGCTATCATATCACCCCTTAACCTCCTCTTCTCCAGGCTAAACATGCCCAGCTCCCTTAGCCGTTCCTCATAAGGCATCGTTTCCAGGCCTTTGACCATTTTGGTTGCCCTCCTCTGGACACGTTCCAGTTTGTCAGTGTCCTTCTTGAACTGTGGTGCCCAGAACTGGACACAGTACTCCAGGTGAGGTCTGACCAGAGCAGAATACAGTGGCACTATTACTTCCCTTGATCTAGATGCTATACTCCTATTGATGCAGCCCAGAATTGCATTGGCTTTTTAGCTGCCGCGTCACACTGTTGGCTCATGTCAAGTTTGTGGTCAACCAAGACTCCTAGATCCTTTTCACATGTACTGCTCTCAAGCCAGGTGTCACCCATCTTGTATTTGTGCCTCTCATTTTTTTGCCCAAGTGCAATACTTTACATTTCTCCCTGTTAAAATTCATCTTGTTTGTTTTGGCCCAGTTCTCTAATCTGTCAAGGTCGTTTTGAAGTGTGATCCTGTCCTCTGGGGTGTTAGCCACCCCTCCCAGTTTAGTGTCATCTGCAAATTTGATCAGGATGCCCTTGAGTCCATCATCCAAGTCGTTGATAAAGATGTTGAATAAGACCGGGCCCAAGACAGAACCCTGTGGCACCCACTAGTCACTCTTCTCCAGGATGAAGAGGAACCATTGATGAGCACCCTTTGGGTTCGGTCAGTCAGCCAGTTACAAATCCACTGAGTGGTAGCATAGTCAAGACCGCATTTTACCAGCTTCTTTACAAGAATATCATGGGGCACCTTGTCAAATGCCTTGCTGAAATCAAGGTAGGCTACATCCACTGCGTTCCCTTCATCTACCAGGCTTGTAATTCTGTCAAAAAACGAGATCAGGTTAGTCTGACATGACTTATTTTCAGAAATCCATGCTGACTATTGGTGATCACAGCATTCCTTTCTAGGTGCTCACAGACTGTTTGTAATGATCTGCTCCAGAATCTTCCCTGGTATTGATGTCAGACTGACTGGGCGGTAATTATTTGGGTCCTCTCTTTTCCCCTTTTTGAAAATAGGGACAACATTTGCCCTCCTCCAGTCTGCCGGGACTTCGCCTGTTCTCCAGGAATTCTCAAAGATGACTGCCAGTGGTTCTGAGATCACATCTGCCAGTTCTTTTAATACTCTTGGATGCAGTTCATCTGGCCCTGGAGACTTGAATACATCTAAACTAGCCAAGTATTCTTGTACTATCTCCTTAGTTATTCTGGGCTGTGTTTCCTTTGCTGAATCATTTGCTCCAAATTCTTCAGGTCGGGCATTGTTTTCTTTATCGGAGAAGACTGAGGCAAAGAAGGCATTGAGGAGTTCAGCCCTTTCTGTGTCCCCTGTTTGCATTTCACCATCTTCTCCTCTGAGTGACTCCACTGTTTCTTTGTTCTTCCTTTTGCTACTGAACATACCCATAAAAGCCTTTTTGTTGCTTTTAACCTCTCTAGCAAGCCTGAGTTCATTCTGTGCTTTAGCTTTTCTGACTTTGTGTCTACACGTGCTGGCTATTTGTTTGAATTCCTCTTTGGTGGTTTCCCCCTTTTCCATTTTTGTACACATCCTTTTTAATCTTAACTCAGTTAAAAGTTCTTTAGATAGCCACCCTGGCTTCTTTAGGCACCTTCCATGTTTCCGTCTCATTGGTATTGCCTGACGTTGTGCTTTTACTATCTCCCTCTTAACAAACTCCCAGCCATCATGAACTCCCTTTCCTTTTAGTATTACTGTCCATGGGATCTCACCCAGCACTTCCCTAAGTTTTATGAAGTCGGCTTTCTTAAAGTCAAGAAATTGAGTCCTAGTATGCTTGGCTGCTCCTTTCCGCTGTATAGTAAACTTCAGAAGAGCATGATCACTCGCGCCTAATGATCCTTCCACTTCTACCCCACTAACCAGGTCATCAACATTGGTTAGGACCAGATCTAAAATGGCTGTTCCTCTTGTTGCTTCTCCCACTTTCTGGACAATGAAGTTGTCTGCAAGGCCAGTGAGGAATCTGTTTGACCTTATGCTCTTGGCTGAGTTTGACATCCAACAAATATCCGGGTGATTGAAGTCCCCCATTACTACTATCTCCTTCCTTTTGCATGCTTGGCCATCTGTTCCAGGAAGGCATCATCTATGTCCTCCGTTTGGCTTGGGGATCTATAGTAAACTCCCACAATGAGGTCACTGTTATTCTTCTCTCCCTTAATTTTGACCCAACTGCTCTCACTTTGGCTTTGAGGTTCTAAATCTTGGATCTCTTCACAGGTATACACATCCCTGACATATAACGCCACTCCTCCTCCTTTCTTGTCTGGTCTGTTTCTCTGAAATAGCTGTATCCCCCATTATTACATTCCAATCGTGGGACTTATCCCACCAGGTTTCAGTGATGCCTATTATGTCATATTTAGTTTGCTGTACCAAGAGCTCAAGCTCATCTTGTTTATTTCCCATGCTTTGCTCATTAGTGTACAGACATTGAAGTCCATTAATCATTCCCCCGTGTCTCTTATTTAAGGATTTTTTCCTCCCACCACTAGGTCTGCGTGCTGTTTGCTCCATTTGGTCTATGACATTTGAATGATCATCTTCATCAATTGATAGACTCCTACCTTCAGGAGCACTGTCTCCCTCCCCCACATTAGTCAGTTTAAAGCCCTCCTGATGAGGTTTCTGAGATTTTTGGCAAAAACATTTCTCCCAACCGTGGTGAGGTGCAGCCCAGCGCTTGCCAGA